AAGCTGTACAGAGGGATGGTGGAGATGGAGAAAGGGACACAGCTACGCGCGCACACTGAGACTGGCGGATAGACAGAAGGGAGAATGCGGTTCTTCATGGAGGTGGGACTGGCGAAGACTGGCTGGCCAGCCGCCCTGAGCCTCTTCGGGTTGACCGACGGACACCTGAAGCCACCGAGATACTGTGTTTAAGTCGGCCCTGTGGATTGGATAAGAAGGCGTGTAAATTTGGTAGAGCAGAGGAAAAGGTCGTGGATTAACAGCAAGCGCCCTGTAGTGCATTCGGGTGAAATAGTAGTGGCTGATTTTACAATTTTGGTGCGACTTGAGCGATTAATTCATAAGGCAGCACCGTATTGCTTAAGGCTTCGTGTCAGGCTAGAAATAAGGAAACATCATTATAGTGATAGCGACTTCAAGTAAAAAGCAAGATGATGGCCATTTACCTACGCGACAAAATTAAAAAGTCGAAAAAAACCATAGTTAACAAGTCGGAATAAGATTAGACTGCACGGAGTAAATTCCATAATCTGTCTTTTACAAAAGAGGCAATAGTATTCCCAAATCAGCCATAATCAAGAAAAAAGATGAGCCAAATCTCATGCCCTGCTTACTCCCTGGAGGAGTGACGCACGCCAATGGGCTCATAAGAGAATCCGAACCTATAGTATGTGCAAAAGGGATCGTAGAAGGTCTCGAAAGCAATCCAGTCCAGAAATCACCTTGACAAACCGAAATAGTGATGGGCGCGTAAATACGCACGCGAGCATAAATGAAGTCGGAAGATGGGTTGAGCAAAGACAAAATTGTTGTGTTATTCGACTATGCATTTTTACTGATTAAAAAAAGTCTTAGAGAGTAATAACTAAACGTAAGTATAGCGAAATTCTCATACTCTGCTGCCCTTGACAGTGAAAATAGTAAAGTTTCAAAAGAAAATCCATTTCGTTAACTTGATGCTCCGCATAGCCTTTTCGCTTAACACGCGCAATGATTAAAGCGTTATCGCACCAGCACACATGCTAATAATGTAGGCAGTGCAACAACGGTGTTGATTAAACTTCATTGAGAAATTTAATTTGCAACGCCAAAGCGCTGTCATCGTGATTCATTAGATAAGTACTGCCATTCCGCAGTGAGAGGAATTAATTTGGAAATGGATGGATTATATTTAACAAATGATGGCGTTGCAATGCGCCTGACTAAATGTTACGTTAATACTAGACCCATTGAACATACCAGAACAGGCTTTCAAAATGCATCCTACTAGCGAAGAGCCCCAAATGCCTTTTGGCAATTGCCAACATTTTCTATACAGAGCTTTGATACCAAACATGAGAAGTAAAACGAAAATACTGAGACGTAACACAAAATCATCGTAACTTGGAAGAGCCATGACGACTCGTATAGAAAATAAACTCACATTTAAATAGACCGATGAATGCCCACTATATTGTTCCCATGATTTGCCTTAGATAAGAAGTGGCGCAAAGCGATTAGCAACGCTCTCCGAGCAAAAAGTTCGTCATTACCAAAGCAAATTTCGAAATAGAAATCGAGGTCCCGGTGACTTAATTAGTTAAAAAATTCAAACAAGGACACAATTTTTGCCAAAGAAATCATGTTCCAAGTCAAACATCAAGCACTTTGGATGGATTCAAAGTTCACTTTACGAATAGTGTCCGTAACGCCTTTAAAAGCCATCTTTAGTTTGCAAGTGGGTAGAACGTATGAAGTACAATTCAATATAGTGAACGTGAGGTATGCAATGGGGCTAAAAATGTCAACCAATCCAAGCAGAATAGACATTCAAATCGAGGGAGTAAACTTTGACCGAAATAGCTGTCTGGTGTTCCCGTGTCCCTTCTGATGCACTTTCCCAAGTCAATGAGGAATTAAATGCTTGCAGCCAAGTTGCATCTTGAATGATAACAAGCAAGGACATCTACTTGCGTCCATAAAAACAAATGACAAGAAGACATCACCATGTCTCAGTTTTTGGTCAGAGGTTAGCAATCAAAATTCGTGGCTTATGGAAAACGTGTTGGTCTGCCTATGGAAATTCTAAAGTAGAAGGACATTTCCCTAGGCCACCACGTGCCGCATTTATGTGAACAAGTTCCCTACGATTGGCGTAATGAGTCACAAGTTGAACTTTTATCGGTCCAAATGTTGCAGCAGCATGAATTGGAAAGAGGGTTTGTTAAAAAAAGGTTTTCTTAAAACCTGCACATAAAATAAGCTTAAGATTACACAAAGAGCGGGAATGGTGAATGGTTCAAGGGCTACCACTGCTTCGCAAAGATCACAGCAATTTAGAGGGAAGTCCTTATTCATCATGCCATTTATGAAACTGAAGACGTTTTCAACCCGAACAAACCGCATACACCCGCTGCCAAGTGATACCAAAATCAAAAAAGTAGCAAGTGTTGAATGCGCGGAAATGAAGATAAAGCATTATCCACAATGCGGTGAATTTGATAACAAAATAGGGCACTCAAATTCATGAAAACTAGCATGCTATTACATTACGGTTTAGTTTGAAAGAACGAAAATGAAAATGGCAATGGAATAGGCGAGTCAAGTATAGACGAAATTTATTAATAAGACAGAAGTGCTTATCCTTCCTCGGACAACTAAAGACCATAGAAAACAGGACAACAGACAACAAATGAAACAGGTCGAGAATTTCGAAAGAAAACCGGATGATTTGCCACACAAGAGGAAAAGATACATCAACACTGCCTGAGTGACAAATCGTAAGACATAAGAGGTCGTTTAAAAGGTAAAATCACTAATGCACTACTGAAAGAAACGCTGTAGCAAAGTAGGAGTTACAGAGCGCTTGCAACAGAATAAACTAAGCGCATGATTTGCCGCCCTTTGAAAATAACTATTCCCTACAGCCAAGTCTGTCTTGGGAGAGGAAGCACTAATTGTAAAAAAAATGTCAAGCAAATGTTAAATGGTCTTCCCCTGTCCTTAAGATCATAATTTTCTCAGTAGTTGTTGCATTCACGTAACCTAATCGAAAAGTAATACGGACATCAACGTGAATGGCAAAGGAGCAAACTCTATGAACGGCAAAATAAAACCATTTTCCTGATTTATTTTGCGATGAATGTAGGAAGTCTTGTGTTTACAAGGTTTTTCAGAAGGCAATGAAAAAATGTGAATTGTAGGAACAGAGACACGATCAACTAAGTATCCGAAAGAAAGGGTACACACGGCAACAGGCTATACCAACAACAACAAAATGCTGAGGGCACATCACAACTAATTATTCATGCAATGTACACACGCACACAAATACGTCCACATCCAAAAAAGAGATAACACTCCTTGAATCGTTGTGCTCGCAAGTGTGACAGGATACTCCACTGCTACAAGCTCCTGCATTCTGAGATGAGGCAGAGAGAGGGAAGAGACGAGTTCACGCACATCCAATGGGGCATTCCGGGTGCAAACACTTGGACAGAAGTGTAAGGAGAGTCTGCGTGGAAGTCAGCGCAACACTTACCGAGTGCGCAGAATGATACGAAAATCTGGCAAACGAAAACGCATTCTCGAATGAACTAGGAAAGTTTTCGCCCCACGGATAAAACTGAGTAGTATAAACTGTCCGGAATGGACAACCACAGTTTCGGATAACCTCATCTTATTAACAATGACGGTGAGTATCACCAAAGCTAAAATCGGTAACCAAGCCAAATTACTTCGTGTTAAAAAGGTTGGACGTGCTTCAAGTCAATAAAAAAACACCCACACGTCCAATATGACTGCTGATCCAGAGAGAAATGTGAGGAAATATGCTAATGAGAAAACCAACACTGTGCCGTAGAGGTTCAAAGAAAAGTGAAAACGTGTTACAATCGATCCAAAAGCCAATGGTGAATCTATCCAACATCGCTTGCCACAGCACAGAAAGTGAACCTAAAGTTACCAAATGGATGAGGACATGATGCAAGGAGTCATTCAACTATTAGGAAGCAGAGGTGTTAAAGGAAGAAATTGTAGAAGTTGAAGTGACGCTATCACTTGTTAACAGTACCGAATTCTATTCTAAGGCGAGTAAGCTAACTCTGGAGTGGTTAGTGCCTTTACGCCTGTGCATGCGTGCAGCAGCAGCAGGAGCAGCGATGTGAATAAAGGGGGTTAGGGGAATCTATTGTTCACCTACGTAGACAGGTACATGTCTCCGCGGGCGCTGAAATGAAGAGTGAAGCTACAAAGAAAAATTAAGGCTAGAGGAAGCTCATGATGGGTGAAGAGTACACGATAATTCCACTAATAGCATGAATAATAAAACAATTTGATCCATCCTCCCCAATTGGTGCTAGGATTACATTTGTTTGCTAGTCCATTAAAAGTAGTGATATCAGGAGACGTTACTCGTTTTGATCCTGCAAAGGGATATGGGAAAAATCGCCGCTGTTTGCTATTGCTCACACTTTGAGAAGCAAAGGAACCACGGAAGATATTTTGATAAGCAGTGAAAATAATGGAATCAGGCAGAAGCTGATGAACAACGAATTTCATAGGATTCGCCATTTGAAGTAAATAAAAAACAGTGCTGCTGTTAAAGGCATGCAAGTATCCCCGGAAAGGCTAGCCAGGTAGTGGGCTTGGGTTTAGCTCGTGAAGTCGCTACTGCCGAAGAAGTCATGCAGGCGCAAAATCATCAGCAAGACCATGCGGGCGAGATTTTGGATGCGGAATAACACCTAGCAATTACCGGACGACTGTGAAACTTGTCTCACTGTCCGCACCGTTGAACGCGGTGGGATAGGAGCAGGACAACGAGTCGTGGTCGCAGGTGAACTCAGCGCAGCAGGCTTTAGGTTGGCCCGCGAAGTATAGGTGCCCAAAGGCTCTGTATTTGAACGAAGGTAGTAGACGTGGGGTCTGGGCAGTCTTATCCCTTCCTTTAACAATGACAACAACATCGATAGGTACCTAGACGTCTGTGCACTTCAATTTTCTGGTGAAGTGAGAAGGAATTAAATCAGACAACGAAAAGGACTTACAGCATCTGAGGTGGATTTCCGATGATGCTCCTCCCTTGGGATATCCCCGGATTCAATGGCATCGAACGATTCGGCGTTTTGGGATTCTTCTTCTGTGAGTTCCGTTACGTTATCGAGAGGAACTAAAAATAAATCGCCGTCAGTCAGACAATCGCTCAGAGCAAAAGTTAGGCCAGCTGAAAATAGTCATGGAAAAGACCTGATAAACCAAAGAGTTGAAGTTGGAAGCAAACAAGTTCGATAGTTGAAGTTGCAGCCTCATACACCAAAAGACAATCCAAATTTTATCAGAAATTCCGTCGTCAATTCAACAGACTGGTAGTGAATCAAAAGTCCAACATAAGTCTAATGGAGTGGAAGGCTTCTCTCCTTTGTATGTAACATGGTTTACAGTAAGTAATAAACATCAAATGCCAGTAAAACAAATTTCGGATTGACTTGCTGGCAAAATCTATACCGAGTGTTGAATGAAGACAATCTGTGTGTGTAAAATCACTTGGATAACAAAGTCCTCACATGAAAAAAAAGCAAGACGAAACACTGAATAAAAAGGCGCAGTTGATGACTGATGATACCAATACTCAAAACCCAAATATCCGAAATTCCGTGCAGCTCTTTTGAATTGTATTTTTAAATGTGTGCGTAGCCATGAAACATTCCTATCGACATGAACATTGGCGTAACACGATCGCTAAAGGATCTGAAGAAACTACGTTTGTATAGTAAAGGACATTGATAGAATATGAGCCCTGGTCAACTCCTCTATACAGATGAAACAAGCAAAATCAGAGTCGAGATAGTGTGAGTAAAATCATGTTTACACAAAAAGGGGCTAATAAGCACGGAGATCAATGCAGCGAAATGCAATGTAAGCGACCACCAGGCAATAAAATAGACTGCCTCTTTTAGTACAGCAAGTGAACCGCCTACCATTGGTTTAAAGCTTTCAACTTATACGATACGAAGTCACCAAATAGGAAGACAGAGAAGTGGAAACTGAAACGATCGGCAAGTGCCAATGGAGCATGAGCGCACAACAGAAAGTATCAAAAAGTGGCGTTGAGAAATCCCGATTTCGACAGTAACGCGAAAATTCCCAAATAGATGGTTGCACCATTGTTGAGGTGAACGGACGGTAGGGGATAAAAGGTAATGGTAGCTGCAGCTGAAATCAACCTGGCCGTTCACGACACAGGCACGCCAATAACGGTACCGGAATTAATAGGATTTAAGTATATACCACACAACTCATAAGTATTGCGTTTGGTTTCCTCATTGGATCCACTATCGAAGGGGTCGGACAAGTAATGGTGTCTTCATGCTGCCACTCATATAGTTCCCACATTGAGAGGATTAAGGGACAAAAGTAGAAATATATGTGTCAGGTTATATACCACAATACTAAACTTCAGAACATATTGCAACATGAAATTAGTGCATTTAGGTAATCACAATAGAGCATACAACTTTACCAGTCAGGATTTCCACACGATTGAAAGATTACATTTATTTAGTTACACAGAAGCAGAATATGCAGGAGCATAATTTTTGTACCATAATTTCTAACTCAACCGAATGAAAGAGATACCTATAAATCGATGCGACTGAATCCAAACAAGTGTTTTAGCCTAGCATCACAAAGTGAAGATAGGACATTGGGCACAGTGTACAAGTTCATCTTGATGGTCCAAACATAAGAAACGAGGATTGACTAATGCTTTGCATCAACTTGATAGAAAGATCATTCATCGGAAGCGACTAAAGAGGTTAGACTGAGAAATTAACGAATTATGGTGCAGTTCATGGCAGTCAATGCAATATGGTTTGCTGGATTTAGTTAAAAATTAAATTAAGTCCTTGTGAGCTGGCACAAATGGCAAAGCTCCCTCGGCCTTAAATCAACCCGAAACGCACGGTGAGGTGACTATGCAACGGAAAAAATAGTCAACGTATCAACGCATGCCAGACTCCAAAGATTGAAGAATGCTCGGATTTCAAAAAATGTTCGGATGTGCTGGTTGTGCCTCAACCATAGCAAATTACCGAACCAATGGGCTAACTGCACAATTTCAAAAAAAGGTTTGACTACTTAAAACGAGCAATCAGAGATCTGTAACTCGCCCACATCCGAAACACTTTTCGCCGCAGCACCAAGTCAAAATGCTGTAGGAAGAATGAAGTCACTTCCAGTAAACGGCTGTGAACAAACACGATGAGGGGACCAAAGCGCAAATATATATGCTAATCATCCTTGAAAACATGATTAACAGATTTATCCCATTTCGCAAAGAGCTTTCTTAAACACTAGTTTAATGGAATCAAATATTTACAAAATTTTTAGCATAAGTTGTTTGCACGGTTAATGTGAAGCAAACAGATTGGGAGCCAAAGCAACCTTTTTAAGGTAATCCACGCAGAACGTATTTCAAGAACACTAGATTGACAAAACTGCATCGGGAGCAGCCCCCAAAGCGACTATCATAGTACAGTAAGGTGGCATTTAAGCATATCAAACTCCCTTAATTCGTACCCATTAAAGAACTTCATTTAAGAGCATCACAGCCACAACTTCCAGAAAGAAGCACCCTGACCCAAATGAACAACTGTGCACAATCAAAACGTTAGCAAGCAAATATATCATGGAGAATAGCTATGTAACGAAGTAGGTCTAAAAAACAAACCAAAATTCAACATTCTGGGGAGTTGTAAATTCTCGAAATTGAACTACAAACCCGTCTTACTTAGCTATTACAAAAAGTGACACAAATAACTTAGCTTAAATTAAAACCAAAAGCACAGTTAATGGAGAAAATAAAGCATCAACCACCAAGTATTGGAAACGTGTAAAAGAATCACAGAAGGCACTGCCTATCGATCTGACAACTCATACTTGCAGCACTGTAACGGTGACGAGCCGTCCGGCCTGGTTGATGAGATGGTTGATTATATCCTCCCCTATCTGAATCCAAAGCGGTCAGTGATCAGATTAAGGTTTTAAGAGGCAGCTTTGTTAACAGTCAAAGCTTACACGATTGATATATATTTGCACTGTCCCCACCGGGTTTCTCTAGTGCCAAAGGTCGAATATCATCCAGACTGAGGCTCCTTTGACTTAAATGATTTATTATGAGATCTTGACTCTACAAAACAAAATCGAATGCAAAACCACTGAGGATTTTGAGGAAAAAGGGGCGACAGGAATATCACCAGAGTATTAATGGTTTTACGACAGGAAAACCACCCAAGTTGGCGCGATGATGCAAGGCCGAATGGCGTACCTTAATTGCAGTATGAATGGCAGTATTTGCAACATAGGTTAATCCTTTTGCACCGAAATTCATGAGAGCGCTGCAACTTGATTCGGCCGCCCTTTCGATGTATTGGTCTATGTCCTAAAAACATTATTTGCAAGTGTAAGCAACCTTCTCCTTATTGCTTAGTTGAGGATGGACGATCTTTCTGTAGATAATACTGGACCCCTGTGTGAATGGTAGTACGAGGTAGAGGACAAACACAGTTTTGATTTCGTAATAGAGCGGAAACCTTCACAGATTTAGATGAGATAATAAAATACCAAGCCATTAAAATATCTCCAACAGTTTCGAAGGCAATGAAACAGGAAAACACAATCCAGTACATGGTCAGCCGAACCTGAACGAATAAAATTTCAGAAACGCATACCAACTCCTTCACATCCTTGTACCTGAGAGCCTTATACGATTTGTACGCAGGATAAAGAACGCCAAAAATCGTTCTAAAATGTTAATTTATGGAAAAGTCGTACGTTATAAAGCGACAGAAGAGGGGCACGATCATTCGAGCATATATCCAGGTGTGTGTGCAGATGAGTTAAAATATTTAGCCAGCTTGACCTATAAAATCGAAAATTGAAATTGATAATAATCCAAACAAAGTGCTTATAAGCCTAAAATTAGCTGTAAAACAATTCATCACATGCTGGTTTTCTGTTTTACGTGATAAACCAACTCAATTAAGGTCCAGACAGGCCAAACGATTGATAATGCACCTAGAGCAATAAATCTAGGCACACTCAGTGTCATTTAACAACGTGGTATCAAATGCGGTCGGCACAAATGACTGCAGATATGCGTAGAATAGCATGGACTCATACTTTGTTAGATTATAATGTGAATGGATTTGGTGGACAAAATTTCCCAGTTCGCTTAGACGATAAAGCATGATTAGTTGTGCCTAAGTAAATACCTGAGAAACTTAAAAACTGAAGCGCAACAATTATTCAAACCAGTTTTAATGTATACTGCCAGTTGCCATGTAAGCACATACTGATTAAAGCTTGTCTCGATCGCATGTGTGTTATACTTGGAATAAGCCTGTAGCGTCTACATTTGAGCGTCCTCTTTCCATGTCCACTATTTCTTTGCATACTTTTCAATGCCTCCAGTTCTTTGCTTAAGCATCTTCGAAGCTACTTCTACTATGCTTACAGTTCGCTCGTTTCTTTCTCCCTCTACTTCAAGAAAATTTTGGCATAGGTGCCAACTTCCTTGGATCGCGGTGTAAGAATCGTGGGGACCGAAAAAGGTTTTTTGCTGAAGAAGCAATAACGTCGAGCTGTCTTGTTAGTTGCGGAATTTCAAA